TATGAGATTGAAACATAGAACTAATTTGCATCTTATGAGATTGAAACATAGGACTAATTTGCATCTTATGAGATTGAAACATAGGACTAATTTGCATCTTATGAGATTGAAACATAGGACTAATTTGCATCTTATGAGATTGAAACATAGGACTAATTTGCATCTTATGAGATTGAAAAACAGTACTAATTTGCATCTTATGAGATTGAAACATAGAACTAATTTGCATCTTATAAGATTGAAGCATAGGACTAATTTGCATCTTATGAGATTGAAACATAGGACTAATTTGCATCTTATGAGATTGAAACACGGGACTAATTTGCATCTTAAGAGATTGAAACACAGGACTAATTTGCATCTTATGAGATTGAAGCATAGGACTAATTTGCATCTTATGAGATTGAAACATAGGACTAATTTGCATCTTATAAGATTGAAGCATAGGACTAATTTGCATCTTATGAGATTGAAACATAGAACTAATTTGCATCTTATGAGATTGAAACATAGAACTAATTTGCATTTTATGAGATTGAAACATAGAACTAATTTGCATCTTATGAGATTAAAACTATGACAGCGACTCCTTCAAGCCTTCTCTATATATCTGTGATTCCATCATCCAGATAGAACAAATATTTCAAACCCTGTGCGGAACATACTCAAACATTCTTCTTATATTTCCCCATATTTATTACATTTGGCTGAGAGATTTCAAACTCTTACTCAACAAGACACATCTTTTATCCTGTCAACTCTAAAATGATTAACAATTCTAATGTGACAGGAGCTAATGCAAACGTCACCATGTCAACAAGGGTTAAGTTGACAGTTCGTCACATCTACATTGACGAAAGTTTCAATCAAAATACACGGTGACCCGTTTATCACACACTGTCCTCCTTTCTTCATTTCATAAATATTTAGCATTTTCCTTTCTTTAAAATTCGAACATGTCGCAATAGATTATAATTTATTGTTCCGTGAATTCCAGTAGCCAGAATGTGCGGTGTAATAGAAGGTCATTGAAGAAAGTTACGAGAATTTTAATAAATTTACATAAGGTTTGATTTATGGAGATATAAATGCTGTGGGAAAGATGTACGTTAGGGTGAAATCATCGTGATGTAATTCTTTATCGTTTTTAAAGAATTTCTGTAGTTTTTAAAAATCTTAAAATATAAAACATCTAACAACAAGTAAAGCAGATATTGTTCATGGGTTTAAATTCTTCACTGGGGTGCTAATCACAAACTGATGCTTATATCCAAATGGGTGTAAATTTTGAATAGAATTGACTCTTGTCCAACTTTTAACTTGGGTTTAACAAAAGAGTATGAACATGTTCCAACTTTTAAATTAAAAGGAATTAAAGAAGCATTCAGATAAGCTATTTATCAGTTTGAAGTACATTGAAGTAAAGTAAAAATAAACATCAAGCTCTGACTAAGGGCTTGTACTCGTAATTTATTGTAATTCCTTTTCATAAGGTTGCGACGTTGCCTTGTTACTCTTCTGGGGCATTCTCTAGACACGCAATACTCTGGACCATGAAGAATTAAAGATTGATAAGATACAAAACAAATAATTTGAGTTGTAAATAGACTGTTCTTCTTATTCTTACATGATGACGGTCATCCTCGCCAAGGCCTGCATCTACAAGTTCTCCTTAAGGTTAAAACTAAAGGGGATACAAGAAGACCCCCACCCTGTATTGATGAGACCTTTCAAGGTGAGGGAGTCTTCCTGCCGAAGAATGGGAAATATGTATATAGATTATTTTGTATATATATTTTATTCTGGTAGTTACCTTCAGAAAAGGAAACGATTTTAGTAACATTATAGGTTATAAAAGCCTCAATTTGAATAGACATTGAAGTCATATACACTGGCCTCCAAAGAAATTGCAGAATCAATAAGCACTTTAGAAAATTTTCAGAAAATATGTATACTTATTAAAAACATTAAAAATCATGTACATGAAAACTTTATAAACCGTTACTAGTATATAAGTATATAAAATATCATTTTATAGTCATGAAAGGGTATTTAAATAGCCTTATAACGAATCATTAATTAGAAGTATCTTGTATTTTTTGGATACTTAGTAATGCATTTGAATTCTCAGTAGAATGCCAAAGCAGAAAAAAGGGCGTCATACATGCAAATTTCTTATTATACAAAAGTTAGAATCATAGACCTCAGAGAAAGTGGAATTTCGACTAGAGAAATTGATATGCAGTATGCTGCAAAGTACTATTAGGCTCAGTGGCCAAAGGAAAAGTAAAAAAAAATGGTTCAGGTCGCTCTAGAAAAACGAGAGGGTAGGAGGATCCGAAGAATGGTTGTAGCAGACAGGACAACAACTGTACCAATGATTCAAGCTTAACCTGTACAAAACGAATATCTAACATCTCAGAACGCCATTAATAACTGTATTATCGAAGAACTACGTAGTCGCCTGCCTTTATTAAAAATTCCACTCTCTGACAGACACAGAAGCTACAGACTCAGCTGGCATGAAGAGATACGTCTTTGGACTCAAGAATGGTATTATGTCATTTTTTTCTGATGAATCAAGATTCAGTTTGGGGGTTCATGACGGCATAATACATGTTAGACGCAAGCACCCAGAAATATTCTAACAGGACTGTATTGTGGAAAGGCAAACAGCCAGAACACCTGTGTTCATGGTGTGGGGTGGCATCAGCTATAGAATTAGGACCCCTTTAGTCTTTATTCAAGGCACAACGACTGCTTAGCTACACATTGCAAATGCGTTACAGCCTATTGTGTTGTGTCTATTGAAAGCTTATGATAGCGATTGAAACACTTATTAAAAGCTTAACTTTCATTGCCGCGAATAGTATAAAAGGTTTCTCAGATGACTATAGCATTTACAAATATATATTGAAATTTTATAGTTTAAAGAAAAAACTGTGCGAAAAAATGATGAAAAAAGAATAAAAACAATGCAAATATCAGGTGAAAATAATCATGCTAAAATTAGCTTCATTTCAAATCCGAAGTTGCAGCAAATAGTTGCATAAATACTAACGACCTTTGATTGCCACTGGGATTGCTGAGTATCGCAGAAAGCTGATATTTGGTAACAAAGACCAAATTGGATTGAACCAAAGTATCAACGTTTTTTTCCATTTTTGATTTTTCAGAGTTTCGAAACAAAAGAAGCGAAATCTTCAAGGAGGCCAAATAGGGAGAGTTCTGATAACATCTCGGGAGTTTTATTGTTAAAATGGGGATTGTATGCGGCACGGTGAGTCTTTCTTTGTCGTCACAATGTCTCGTTCTTTGACCAGTCTAGTCCCTGTACCGCCTTCTCTCTGGTCTTAGACAGGGTCTATAGTCTGTACCGCCTTCTCTTTGGTCTCAGACATGGTCTAGAGTCTATACCGCCTTCTCTCTGGTCTTAGACAGGGTCTAGAGTCTGTACCGCCTTCTCTCTGGTCTTAGACAGGGTCTAGAGTCTGTACCGCCTTCTCTCTGGTCTTAGACATGGTCTAGAGTCTGTACCGCCTTCTCTCTGGTCTTAGACATGGTCTAGAGTCTGTACCGCCTTCTCTCTGGTCTTAGACAGGGTCTAGAGTCTATACCGCCTTCTCTCTGGTCTTGGACAGAGTCTAGAGTCTGTACCGCCTTCTCTCTGGTCTTAGACAGGGTCTAGAGTCTGTACCGACTTTTCTATGGTCTATAGTCTGTACTGCCTTCACTCTGGTCTTAGACAGGGTCTAGAGTCTGTACCGCCTTCTCTCTGGTCTTAGACATGGTCTAGAGTCTGTACCGCCTTCTCTCTGGTCTTAGACAGGGTCTAGAGTCTGTACCGCCTTCTCTCTGATCTTAGACAGGGTCTAGAGTCTGTACCTCCTTCTCTCTGGTCTTAGACAGGGTCTAGAGTCTGTACCGCCTTCTCTCTGGTCTTGGACAGAGTCTAGAGTCTTACCGCCTTCACTATGGTCTTGGACAGTGTCTAGAGTGTGTACCGCCTTCTCTCTGGTCTTAGACACGGTCTAGAGTCTGTACCGACTTTTCTATGGTCTATAGTCTGTACTGCCTTCACTCTGGTCTTAGACAGGGTCTAGAGTCTGTACCGCCTTGTCTCTGGTCTTAGACAGGGCTTAGAGTCTGTGTTACTATATTATCTCTGGTCTGAGACAGGGCTTAGAGTCTGTGTTACTATATTATCTCTGGTCTGAGACAGGGTCTAACGACTGTACCGCCTTCTCTCCGGTCTTAGACCGGGTCTAATTCTCTCGCTTGTCTTTTAGACCGGGTCTAGAGTCTGTACCATATTTGCTCTTATCTTAGACAGGGTATATAGTCTGTAGCGCTTTCTCTCTAGTCTCTGTACAGTTTTCTCTCTGATCTTAGACAGGGTCTAGAGCTATCTCTTTAGTTTTATAGTGGGCTTTATCTCTGTACCGCCGTTTCTCTGGCCTTTGACCGGGTCTATAGTCTGTACCACTTTCTCTTAGGTCTTAGACGAGATATAGTCTCTGCGCCGCTTTCTCTCTTGTCTCAGACTGGGTCCAGTCTCTGTACCGCATTCTCTCTGGTCTTAGACCGGGTCTATTACCATATTCTCTTTTGTTGTTGTTTGTAGGTCCCGTTTCTGCAATATCTTCGAGCACAACATCAGATAAGGTAAAAGGTTGCTCAAACTCATAAAGCAAAGGAAGTAAATAAAGCGACAAACAAATTCCAGGAAGTTTTTGTTTACTCTGCCTCAAAAATGGAAAAGTACAAGTCACGCTGTTGGATATTTCCTGGGCAAACTTATACTGCCTTGCTCAACACATCCGTCTTCGGTAACATATACGTAGAGAATCCAAGTTGTGTTATGTTGTCCCAGGATTGCTAACAATGTGCTGAGAGGTAGATTTTGATAACTACCCCACAGATTAGGTTTTAAGTAAAGGTCTAGGTAGAGTTAATAGTACTACATTAACTCTTTATGATATTAACGAACGGAAAAATATGTCCAGGATAGCCTAGTAGAAATGGCATCTGCCCAGTTAGCGGAACACTGTGGGTTCGATTCCCATCCCTGGACACTTATTTTTCCGTTCATCATTACTCTTCATAATTCTTCCTTCCATACTTCATCCTTAAGCATAGAAATAGTCGTTATTTCTCCTTAAAATAAATTACGATTTTTCGTTCAAAAGAAACATTTGCGGTTAAAATTGTTGAACGTCGTTCTATAGTCATAAGCCGCATTATATTGTATTATAAAGTACTTAGATTGTAGACATTATGCATTTTTGTAAGATATAGTCAATGTTTTTTTTATTTTTTATTATTAAGCCCGTTGAAGAGCGATTATCGCTTGAAAGGTAGCATTTTAAAATAAAAATAAACTTATTGTGGTAAGATATTTTTGTGTTTTTAAAGGTTTTTCACAATTTATCATGAATATAGACATTTACACGTGTAAAAAAAAATAAAGCGTCCACCAGAAACATTTGAAGAATGTAATGCGCTTCCATCTGAAATTAATACTTCCTTGAACGACATAAACTCATTCAATTTTATTTTTAAAAAACAAGAAAACTTGCGCACACATTAATTATAGATTTGTACATTAATTTTGCTTATATATTTGTTGCGGCCTCACTACGCCTCGGCAACCGCGAGTTGGGAGAATACCTCACTACGCATGCGCGGGCGGCATTCTTGCCACGAGCGTCGTTTGAACAACAAGGCTTGCTTCCAGCGGCCGTTACTTCTTTTCCCTCTATTTATTTCGGGGCTTTAAATAAATAAATTTATTTTATAAAATAATTATAATCTTATTAGCGGCCTTTCCACAAGCCACACCACCACGCACGCAACCATTCCACATATATACTCGTATCACACGCTTGTTCGGCGGTACATATACTAAAATTGGAACGATACAGAGATTAGCATGGCCCCTGCGCAAGGATGACACGCAAAATCGTGAAGCGTTCCACATATATATCAATACATGCAAACTAAAAAAAAAAACAAGAAATAAAATGAATAAAAAGCAACAAATGAAAAAAAAGGAATTTGGCTCAAATTAACTTCTTGCGGAAGTTGATGAATGATTACATTTTGGATTTAAAATGCCTAAAATAGTTACATTTGAATCAATTTTATTTTTATCGTTTGGTCTACCTGGTATATAATAACCTGTACATTTATTTATAATAAAATAAATAAAGCTTTCAGAGCTAAGTTTCTTGTGAAGACCTTTTTATTTATATAGAATATACGAGTAATCCTTTGCTAGAAATTTTAGATAATAAAGTAAACGTATAAGGATGAGTGTCTTTTATCTTTTATTGAACGATACTTATCCTTAGAGGTTTACTTATTATCTAAAACCTTTTATTTTCAAGCTTTCAGACTTGTCAGTCCTTCAACAGGAGTATCACGTTAATAGATTGATGAAAAATATTATTTTTAAATCAAGAGATATTTGATGAATATCATGCCCGTAAACATTTATTTATATCAAATGTCTTTATATTCCACCAATTCTTCATATCCATAAGGGTATAGTACTTTCTATTTCCACTAGTCTATGCAATAAAATACGCTGTCCATCCACGAGTGCGAAGTTATTTCAACTCGGAATCTATTTGAAATGAGAAAATATCAAAATTTCTTGTTTTTCATTTCAAGGAAGGTCGAAAAATCCATTATTTCAAGTTTCTAGCTTTAACAAGCTTGGACATAAAAGCTCAACAACTACTTCTATATTTCCGTTAATAATTTTAATATCATATTAAAAAGTTGGCATTGCGTGGCTCAGTAGTTTAAATAATAGAATATTTCATTATAATTGTACCGCAAATTCGATTCTGAAGAAATCAGCCTGAAAAAAATAGAAATATATAAGTTTTTCCTATATACACTGCGTGACATTGAAAATGGAACACCAAGAACTAGTGGCCAGAAAATTATGCAAATTTCAGGGTAGACGCGCCTAACCGAGTTATGCAAATGATGTAAAATGCGCAGCTCTCGTGCGCACATGGAGTAAGATATAAGGTAAGGAACTCGCAGAAAGGACAGTATTCGTGTCGTTATTTCTTCAAGGAAAATCATTGTAGAAATTTTATTCTTGTGTCAAAAGACACGTGTAATAACAGAGAATGCCAGGTCATCGTAAACGGAGGCAGTTCAAGCAGACAGACGCTTTTACGAGGGGCATGGTGATCGGACTGAAAAGGGCAGGTTGGTCCATACGTCAATTCGCAGCTGATACACACCTTGGTGCGTCCACGGTGCACTGACTGTGGAGAAGATGGTTGGAACAAGGAAATGTGGCAATTTATAGGAATGCCGGTGCAACCAGAGTGACGTCAGCACGTGTGGATCGGCGTATCCTTCGACAAGCCGTGGCGGCCCCACAAGCCACTTGTACCGCCATCCTGCAACATGTGCAAGACACCCTAGATCATTCCATCTCGACCAGAACCATTTCCCGTCGATTGGTTGCTAATGGCTTGCACTCATGCCGTCCGCTAAAAAGACTGCCATTGACCCCACCGAATAGGCGCCAACGTTTGGAATGGTGCCGGGCTAGATCGACGTGGATGACGGAATGGCACAGGGTCGTGTTCTCAGATGAGTCGCGTTTCTGCTTGTCCAGTGATAGTCGCCGTGTACGCGTGTGGCGTCGACGTGGAGAAAGGTCCAATCCGGCAGCAATTGTGGAACGCCCCACCGTGCGACAACGTGGAATCATGGTTTGGGGCGCAATCGTGTATGATTCCAGGTCACCTTTACTTCGTATTCAGGGCACTATGACGGCCCAACGATACGTTGATGATGTGCTGCGACCGGTGACACTCCCCTACCTTCAGGGGGTACCCAATGCCCTTTATCAGCAGGATAACGCCCGACCGCACTCTGCTCGCATTAGCCAACAAGCTCTGCAAGATGTACAGATGCTTCCCTGGCCACCGTACTCTCCTGATCTCTCACCAATCGAGCACGTCTGGGACATCATTGGACGCCGTTTGCATGCCTTGCCACAGCCGCGTTCAGAAGACGAACTGTGACAAATGGTTGAGAGGGAATGGAGAGCCATCCCTCAGGACGCCATCCGTACTCTAATTGACTCTCTACCTAGACGTGTTGCTGCGTGCATCGCCGTCTGCGGTGGTCCTACTTGCTACTAAGCCGACGCCGTTCTCGCTCTGTATTATGACTATCATTTTGAAATAAAGATCACTTATTGTTCGTCCCTGTCTCTCTCTGTCTGCCGAGTTTCATCACTTTCTGGCCACTATTTCTTGGTGTTCCATTTTCAATGTCACGCAGTGTAATATGAATTAACGATCAGCGACAATATTCATAGACTTATTGGTTGAGCAAAGCTGTGGCTCTAGTAGAATATATATGATAACTTCAATATCGGTATAAATAAGATTAAACGAAAAAACAAGGTGAAGGAAGACGAGTTTCCTTTATTGATGCATAGGTGCAAGCTTTCGGGTAAAAACCCTTCAACAGGCGAGAAATGAAGCGCGACTTATAAGGACTATGTTACAAATGGTAGGAAGGAATAAAAATACTGTATATAAAAAAGAAAGTTTTTAAAAGTTTTTACCCGAAAGCTTGCACCTATGCATCAATAAAAGAAACTCGTCTTCCTTCACCATGTTTTTTCGTTTAATTTCAAATCAGGAAGAATTCTTTATCTATAAATAAGATTGCAAAAGAATAATTTTCATCTACCAAAATGGTACTTTTTCCTTAAAAATTCAATAAAACAATGCAATCCATTTATCACCCCAATATATATATAACGTGATAGTTTATATAAAGAATGCACTACAACACCAGTTTTGGCAAATTCAGACTAAAGCCAACAACCTGTATACCATGGTTTCGGGCTATGGCCTTCATCACCAAATTTGACCAATTTCATAACTTCCCTTGAAGGAAGTTATAAAATCGAAGCGGCCCCTGTACTGATGAGTGTCATATCCCTAACCAATGGTTAACAAATTTGCCTCTCTTAAATTTCCAAAACTGGTGTGGCAAATTCCTTATCATTCAATCAACCATCGATTACGCCTACTCTGACCACCGTACCGTTCTGATCCAAGTAGGAGACCCAGTTCCTACAAGGCTTCCCTGCATCGAAAAGCTGCTACATTTGGACCTTTATGTCGATTGAATTATTGAAATATTGGAAGACCTAGTAAATTCTTCACCCTTGATTTTATGGAAACAATGGACCAGGAACAAGGCAGATCTGGTCGCAGAGATACGGTCCTTCTCATCTGCCATCGTCGAGTCCGGCGGTGGATACAATGAGAAAGCAAGCCTCTTCCTACGGCGGAGACTGGAGGACTATACTGCTCCGCTCCGACTATCCTCCTTGTCGGACCTCGGGAGTTCCCTCCGAGACCGACGTCGTTTTTCTTCCACCTTCACCGACGACGATGGCAACGCCATCTCCGGAGGGCCACGCTTGAGCAGACGCTTCGCCCAAGCTCCAAGCTCGGCAGAAGCCATCGCGTTCTGTACTCGAGTTATAAAGAAATTAATTGTTTTGATGCATTTTAAAGGTAGAAGTACCTATTCTTGTGCACGCACAAATAAATATAGGCGGAAATTTTTCTGAGAGGATATTAATTTATGTCAATAAAGGTCGCTTCTCTCTTTAAAATAAACGCTAGAACTAAACGCAATCTATGACCGTTGCCGAAAACTAGTGGATTCGGCTCTGTGTTAAGGACAGAACACCAACATTTGGCAAACATATATACACTAGACGAATGGCCCGGGCAACGCCCGGGTTTTATCCGAGTGCGGATATGTTTTTAAAACGTTGTCTTGGGTGGTCGCTATAGACAGGGTGGTCTGTATGGACAGGTGAATGTAACACACAGCTGATAACAGGGTTGTCTAGAGTGGCCGCTATAGACAGGGTGGTCTGTATAGACAGGTGGATGTATCACACAGCTGATAACAGGGTTGTCTAGAGTGGCCGCTATAGACAGGTGTATGTATCACACAGCTGATAACAGGGTTATCTGGGATGGCCGCTATATACAGGGTGGTC